TTCTGACCTCTTTTAACACTATGCTGCTCACTACAATTTAGCACATTACAAGTTCCTAAGTGTACCAAGCTTATTCTCATCTCATCTCATAAGGTCTTTCTGCAGCCATTCCTCTGTTTCAAGCGGTCATTTTCTAGATTGTCATGCCTGCTTTCTTTTTATACAGACCTTAATTTTTTAAGATTTTATTTTTATTATTTTATTTATGTATCTTATTGTATACACTTTGCCCTGTTAGTCATCATCTACTGCAGATAGAAGCTTCTCAGTTGAGGGTTGAGAAAATCATTGATCTATGGGTGTAATCTTAAGTCATTAGGAGTTGGTTTATTACTATGTCCATTTAACAGAATAATAATAGTAGTTTCTATGGCCTATGGCCTGTCTAGACACAGGTTCTTGGTCCAATAATGGTACCAGGTGTAGGTTTCATCTTGGGGAGCAGCCTTAGAACTAGTCAGAAAGCAGTTGGTTACTCCTATGATGGTTATGCCACTATTATACCAGTGGGCATTTCTTACCAGATCAGTCATTATTTTAACAGGTAGGATTCATATTGGGGTATGATTGATGATTATCAAATAATCATCAGCTATGGTAGCATGCCTGTAGTAGCAGCACTTTGGATGCTGAAAATGAAGTATTCTGAGTTTGAGACCTCTGTTGACTACCAAGTAAGACCTTGTTTCCCCAAAACAAAACACCAGAAATGCTGTCAAAAAGCATCACATGCTCCAGAGACTTTTTTGTGTGAAGGATCAATCATTACAGATTTCATTGTGTCTTACTTTTAGAAATCCACTTTCAAAAGGGCAACATGAAGCCACTGTCTGCGGGCCTTCCGTGATGGGCAGACAACTCTGCTTAATGTGGAGACGCTTTCACTTCCTGCTTAGACACATCACCTCTGCTTTGATTTGTTTCTAGTGTTCTGCATAAGTAATGGATTGGCTAAATGAGAAGGAAACTTGAATGCATAGACAGATTATATGACCTTCCCAAGATCAACACACTTGTCATTGACAAATGTGCTTTCGATCTCATTTCAGAAACTCCAGGTTACTTTTCTGTGCTAGGTCATTCCTTCTCCCCACACAGCTGACTTCCAGGGAGAAGTGAAGCTATACACAACGTTTGGAAAATAAGGACAACATTTGTCATCAGAAGCAAGAACAGAAAAGCGAGGCTAAGCTACCATGCTTTAAACCATTACAGACTCTGGCAGCTTCAGTTGTACTTCTTGCAGTGTTTCTAACCCTAAGGAGATAACGGCGAGTTGTCCTTTCCTCTCTAGAAATATATCATCAGTTACAGACAGAAAATAGTTTACCACCATAAAGAAAGGCTCCCCATAGGATCTGCTGTTTTACAAGGCTAGAGTTACTAAAGAAAAATAAATGAAATCTCAGGAAATTTCTCTTGTATTTGGTTTCAAATAATGTAGTTACATTTCCCCCATTCCTAGCTACCTTAAGTGGCAGAAAGAAAAACACCCATCCCAAAACTGGAAGAACAAATACTGTGTGTGTGGGTCTTGGGTCAATGTAACGTTAGAAGACGGGGCATCCTTCCTCAGCTTCAGAAAGGATTGGGAGTTTCACTGTGGAGGACTACATAGTGAGACCTGTTTCAAAAAAAAAACAACAAAAGTAAACATGCATAGAGATAGAACGCTCAATTAGAGAGTGCTTACAGGGTATATTTTGTGGAACATTGATTATTTTTCATGTTATATTCCTTTTTGCCTTACCTTGAACTCAGAATTTTTCTGCCTTTGTCTGCTAAGTGTTGGGATTACAAGCACATGTCACCTGACCCAGGTACCTTTTATTTCTTTTAAACATCCATTCCTTTCATTATATAAAACAATAAAAAATCTGAAATTAAAAAAAAAGTAGCCATCACCTCCCATCCAGCCTTAAGTTTGTAGCACCCTGATAAAGGCAGCCATCAACCCTGAGGCAAGATCTTCCACCCGTGAAGAGATAGCTCACAAAAGGCTCAGATGATCATTAGAATCCTTTAGCAACAGAGTATTTTATAATGAAGGTATGTATGTATATTGTTTAAGGAAGAATATAATGTGACTGCACACTTCATAGATACTATAGTGTATTATAAACACAGGTTTCATATGCACTAGGGAACCAAAAAATAAAAATTATATGACTGACTTTATTGCTGTGGTCTGGATCCAACCGTGATATTTCTGTTCTCAGCTATGACTGAGGTAGTAAAGAAATTCTTGACAGAAAATTAGAAAGTAATTATTTCCTGGGCAATGGTAAAGTAGTAAGGCTCCTCAGGGGAAAAAAAATCTCTACAAATGAGCACTGCCCCTGGACATTTTTCTCTTTGCTATCAAAGGTGCATGACAGATTAAATCCTTTATCTTCTTTTAGATTTCTTTTTTTAATATTTTTTCCTTTTTTCATATAATATGTTTTATCATATTCTTTTCTCTGTCCCCAGTCCTCCCAGATCCTCCCTACCTATTCATGTACTTTCTCCCACCCTTTCTATCCCTTTCTCTCTCAAAAACAAAAAGAAAACAAAATCCCAAAAGACAAAAAAATGTAAAACCAAAAAAAAAATGTGCATTTGTGTTCACACACACAAAACAAAACATGGGAGTCTGATTGGTGTTGGTCAGCTGTTGCTGAGCATGAGGCCTGCCCAGAAGCTTGTTTGATCTACAGAGTGTCACTCCATTGGAGAAAATTGATTTTTTTCCCTCTCCTAGCATGTTTCAGTTGCAGGTAGCTTTCTGGTTAGTGGTGGGACTTTGTGCCCACCTCCCCTTCTCAGTGCTGAAATTCTGTCTGGCTTGAATTTGTACGGGTCTTTTATTTAGATGAGAAGATCCATTTTAAAAAAGCTAGAGATTGGCCGGGCGGTGGTGGCGCACGCCTTTAATCCCAGCACTCAGGAGGCAGAGCCAGGCGGATCTCTGTGAGTTCGAGGCCAGCCTGGACTACCAAGTGAGTTCCAGGAAAGGCGCAAAGCTACACAGAGAAACCCTGTCTCGAAAAACCAAAAAAAAAAAAAAAAAAAAAAAAAAAAAGCTAGAGATTGACTTGCTAATGTGTTGACCCTGATGTCATTGAATAGACAAGTTTGATGTTCCTCTTTTCTAAAATCAAATTAAGGAAGAAAATTCTCTGAAAATGTAACTAAATATAAATGACCACTTAGCATTTAAAACTTTAATTGTGGAAATAAGGTGTCTACTTTATGTCTTTCTTGATGACAGTGTATGGGGATACTGTAGTGTAGATAAGAAGCCAGAATTTGTTAAGAATTCTTATTTACTCTTCTGTCTTGGAGGTGTTTTTTATTATTACTGAAGTACTGGAGGTCCAATCCAGTACCACTAGCTATGTCCCTACCTCTGGGATCTTTATTTTAAAGTGTCATATTTAAAGCCGGTGGTGGTGGCACACACCTTAATCCCAGCACTCGGGAGGCAGAGGCAGGCGGATCTCTGTGAGTTCAAGGCCAGCCTGGTCTACAGAGTGAGTTCCAGGTTAGCTAGGACTGTTTCACTGAGAAACCCTGTTTCGAAAAATGGGGGTGGGGAAAGTGTTATATTTAATTATATATGGCATATTTATGAAGCTTAGAGAATATTATTTGAATTTTGTGTAAAACTATTAATAACATGATATTTTTAAAATGTGATACTTATCATTGGCAAAAAAAACAGTGCTGTTTTTAAATAGCTTATTGCTAACACAATAATTGGAGAAAATAAAAAACTTCAATTAGAAATTAGTAAAATTAAAGAAGTAATTTTTCTCATTATTCACAGAACATGGTCCAAATTTATTTTTTTTCTTCAGATGCTTGCAAGAAGAAAGCCAGATGCAGTTCTCAGCATCTCAGGAGACTTAGTCTATGCGAAAAGTGGAGCTTAGGGCTGTTTCCATATTTAGCCCTTAATGCTTTTCAAGTCCTTAAAATAAGCAGTGGTTGATGGTTAAGCAGTGACTGTCAATCTCGCTTGCATTAGGAATTTGGCTTGTTGTCACCACTTTCAGATTATTGATGAAATAGGTTTTTATCAAAGCTAGCTTAGTCACTTTATCTTTAATTCACATTGGAGTATTCTGGTAGTAATAAACGCTCTGGTCATGACTTGCCTTTGAGTTGCGGCAGAAAGTGTGACTGCACAGGTACTGACAGGTTATACTTCTACTTTATGAAGTACTGTTGCCTGATCAGATCTGAGTGATGATTTTTAGTTACTTTTTTATTGTGGTAATATATTTGCAACACAAAGTTTACCCTTTCAGTCGGTTTTTAAGTGTGTATTTCCTGGCAGCTCTTATCTACAGTGCTTCCCTGCCCTTACTTCTAAATTTTTGAATTTCACATCACCCCTAAACAGCACTTTTGATCATTTAGCAATAATATCCATACTTCATTCAGCTAATCCCACTGGCCAGTGGGATTTTTGTATCTATAAATTTGCTTGTGATCAATAGGTCATATAAATGTAATCATATAATATGTATCCTTTGTGTCTGCCTTTACCCCACATTAGCATAGTGTTTTCAAGTTTCATCTGTGTTTTACAGAGTATGGGTCAGAATTTCATTCTTTTTATAGCCAAATAATACCACATCCTATATGGGTACCACATTTCAGTTACTCATTCATATACTGGAGGACAACTTGGACTGTTTTTGCCTTTGACTCTTGTGATTAATGCCACTGGAAACTTGATTATATGTGTATCTGAGTCCCCATTTTCAAGTGTTTTAGGGGATAGATGTGGAATTGTTGTTTCATGTAGTAATTCATGTTTAATGTATTGAAGAATGTGATAATTATTTTACAATAGTTCATTCTAGTTGAGTTTTCTGGTCCCCCCCCCTTTGTTAATTTTTTTTAAGTTTTTGCTTATTACCTTGTTTGACTTTTGTTGCTTGAGTTTTAAATAATTGTTTGTTTTGGTCATTCATTTTTTCTATCCTTTTCAATTGTTTGTTTTTCAGACCCGAGTCAGAACTCCATCACAGGGGAGCACAGCCAGCTGTTAGGTATAGTATTGCTCTGGGAAGCGGCTCTCCAGTCCCCCCGCCTGGTTTACTAACAGACACTACTCCCCCCCCCACACACGCTGCTGTTGGGGTCTTTCACTTTACTTTTCACCCCTCAAGTCTTTCTCTGTTGATCTCTAACTTGGTAAGGGATAGGAAGCTGCCTTTGTTATTAATTACTAAAACTAAATTAATTACATTTTAAAAAGTAATTTTACATAGTCTGAAGTTAAAATAATCCTAGAGCTTCTTTTTCTAGAATTGAATTGAAAAGCAGATGGTAGTCTCCACACATGTGCTGTGGCAGGTTTCCCCCCCACACATCGTGTCCACGTGGGTCATCAAGTCAAGGTGCTTGCAAAGAACAATCAGACTGCAACCCACAGAACCAGTGAGGCTATATAGCAGGGGGGACCCTAGGATGACTGTGGCTTATAACAAGTTTTGGTTTTACTCAATTCCTGGGTAAGCCTCAATGACACATTTCACTATTAGGATAAGAACTTATACTGTATCAAGCTGATAATAGAAAGAATAAATTTAAGAAAGAAAGGAAGGAAGGAAGGAAGGAAGGAAGGAAGGAAGGAAGGAAGGAAGGAAGAAAGAAAGAAAGAAAGAAAGAAAGAAAGAAAGAAAGAAAGAAAGAAAGAAAGAAAGAAAAGGTGCTTGCTGTGCAAGAAGCCTGGTGACCTGAGTTTGGTCCCCAGGACTTAGGTACAGGGGAAGGGAAGAGCGCATCAACCCCACAAAGTGTCCTCTAACCTCCGCACCCTTTGTGAACACATACAGTAGTAAAAAGATTATAATATTATGTAATATCGTGAACTTTATAGATAGACTTCTCTGTTGTTTGTGTTGGTGTTGAACCACATTTTAATTGCTGGAAGTCACTCAGTTGTGAGGTGCTCACCAGGTACCTGGTTCTGAGTCCTGGGACCCACATAGAAGAAGGAAAGACCTTACTCTTTCAGGTTGTCCTCTGACCTTCACAGCATACGGTGGCATGTGTGTACTCACACACCATCACCATACACACACACACACACACACAAGTAAGCTATGACAAAAATGTAATTACTGAAAGCCTTCACAGACAACATTGACTTTTAATAACCTATAAAATTGATATTCCAGTTTCTTACCTATGAAACAAGTTATAGAAGTGAATTATTTCCTCTAAGTATTGGTTAGTGTAGGAAAACTGTAATTTGACAAGAATTTGATAAGCTCTCAGAACTTGGAGATTTTCAAAACATGCTTGGACTCCTTTCTAGAAACCCTGCAATGGGGAATCCAAGCAGGACAGAAAATCAGTTAAAGGTAGGTAATCCTTCAAGGGTCTGTCCTCCCCACACCTCAGCTCTGCTTCCCCAAGTACTCAATTTATTTATAAATGTTCATATTACATATGATTACTTTTTCCTTTATATGTCAGTGGCCTTATATTATTCAAATGGCATTTTGTCAGTTAATGTTTTGTCTGGGTAGTTCGTATCAGTGTGTCAAGCTCTACTCATTCCTCTGTTTAGAATACAGTGCGATTGCACTGTTCACTGCAGTTTTACTCAGCCAGTTCCCCCTCTTCATGAACATTTGAGGTTATTTCTAGAATGCTATTAAAGAAATTATGTTGAAGGGCATGGAGAGATGGCTCAGCTGGTTAAGATCACCGACTGCTCTTCCAGAGCACCTGGGTTCAATTCCCAGGACCCACATTGCAGCTCACAACTGTTTGTAAGTCCAGTTCCAGGGAATTCAATGTCTTCTTTATTTAGCATGGTGTAAGCACTGTGTGCATGGGTCACATGGACAGACATATGTGCAAGCAAAACATCCACACACATACAGTTTTTTAAAACAAATTATTCTGCAATTAGCGTCTTGTAGTTGCGTCTCTGCAGTCAAGACTGTCAGCACATTTGTAGTTTCCTCTCATGGTTTGTACATTTTCAACGAGATGGATCACCATAAACTCTCCCACTGACCTAGGTATGGAGGAATGTTTGGCTCTCAGTTACAGAAACTTATGTTATTTTTAAAGTTATATTTATTTACTTACTTCCTTTGTAGGGAAGTGATGTGCTTGCCATAGCATGTTTGTGGAGGTCAGAAAACAACTTTCAGGCATCTGTGCTCTCCTACCACTATGTGTGTTGTGGGCATTGAACTCAGGGTGTCAGCCTTGGCCGCAAGTATCTTTACCTGATGAGCCAGCTCTCTGGCCCAAATTGATTTTATTAGTCTATATTTTTTACATTCTAATAGGTAGAGTGTCATTTCTAGTTTGTGTTCTACTTTAATTATGGTGAGAATTAGAACTTTATGGTACGCAAAGAGTTATGTTGTATGGTGGTGTGCGCATCTGGTTTTGTACACTGCTAAGCTTTTAGCTGTTAGAATATACAATAACAAGCCGGGCGGTGGTGGCGCAAACCAAAAAAAAAAAAAAAAAAGAATATACAATAACAGCTGTGGAAAATGTGTTATCAGAAAGTCCACAGTAGGGAAAGAACTTGATATGGCTTGTTTGCTTCCAGAAAAGTTCCATAGTATTGAAGAAACTGTGCGCTTGTTCGCTCGCTCTCTCTCTCTCTCTCTCTCTCTCTCTCTCTCTCTCTCTCTCTCTCTCTCTCTTTCTCATTCTCTCAACTATGTATCTGTCTGTCTATATGTATCTATTATGTTAGCATATTCATGTAATCCTAACATGTGAGAAACAGGCAAGAAGATCAAGATTACAAGGCTAGCCTGGGCTACATGAGACCTTGTCTCAATTTCTTTTCTCCCCTGAATTGTGAAATTGCCAAGATAAGCTCAGAACTCTGAAAGTAGTTTATTATCTGAACAGGAACATAGATGCAGTGGAGGTACAAAGGCCTTCACAAGTGAAATGGACGGTAAGAATTTACACCATTCACAAATCAACTGCACTGAAGCAGAGAAAGACTGTATTTTATAATTTTTTTTTGTACACTTGCCCCACCTTTCAGGACTGGGGACGTAATTCAGTGATTCAATGCTAACTTGGCAAACACCATCCCCTGGGCTCAACCCCAGCACCTCAAAAACCAAAAACTCTCAACGCCTCCATCCCAACCCCAGTGTTTCTAAGAAGCTCCTGTGGTGAACACTGGCTCAATTGTCTTGCTTGCTGAATTCGGTTTATAATAACATCTTTCAGACTTTTCCTGCCAAATGAGATTGAAAACAGCATCTTCCAGACCTGCTAAGTACTGCTCCTGCCAACAGGCTGCAGTTATTTTAATATATTTACTGTTCCCACTGACTCATAAGCTCTCTTGCAAAACTCAGGGTCAAGCTGAGGTAATGTATGGGAGGTGAAGCTGCTCTTGTGATAATGAATCAAAGTTTGTACTTAACAATCTATGAACTTTTACCTGTGTGTGTGTGTGTGTGTGTGTGTGTGTGTGTGTGTGTGTGTGTGTGTGTATAATTTTCAAGTTCAAACATTTTAGAAAGCAAAGAGGCAAACATCAGTGAGTCATGGCAGGTTTACAAATTTTATTAAACATGCAAGAATAAAAACATTCCAGTCTTGTACAATCTCATAGCATAGAAAACCAAATAAACACTGTGAGATCAGTTTGAGTCTTTCTTAACCTTGACACCAAAACTTAACAGTGGCAATATGAGAAAAGCGTTGTCCAGCCCAAACGAAGTATTTGTAATCTGAATCATGTAGTATTTTTATTTTTAATTTAAATATAATATTTTTATTACTTTTTTGAGAATTTCATGCATGAATGCAAAGTGTTTTGATTATATTCACCCCACTACTCTCCCGGACTCCTCCCAGATCCATCCCCATTTCCCACTTGTTCTAAAGTTCCTGTCTTTTTTATTTTTACACTTTTATTATTACAACAATATTTTATTGTGCAGTGTGTGCTGCCTGTATACTCACGGATGTGGAGCCAGTGGAGTGTGATTGACACCAGGGGCCACACCCTTAACAGGGTCCTCCCCTCTCCCAGAATCTCACTGTCAGTCCAGTGGAGTGTGATTGACACCAGGGGCCACACCCTTAACAGGGTCCTCCCCCCTCCCAGAAGCATCACTGTCTGTCCAGTGGAGTGTGATTGACACCAGGGGCCACACCCTCCCCCGGAAGCATCACTGTCAGTCCAGTGGAGTGTGATTGACACCAGGGGCCACACCCTTAACAGGGTCCTCCCCTCTCCCAGAAGCTCACTGTCAGTCCAGTGGAGTGTGATTGACACCAGGGGCCACACCCTTAACAGGGTCCTCCCCTCTCCCAGAAGCATCTCTGTCAGTCCAGTGGAGTGTGATTGACACCAGGGGCCACACCCTTAACAGGGTCCTCCCCTCTCCCAGAAGCATCTCTGTCAGTCCAGTGGAGTGTGATTGACACCAGGGGCCACACCCTTAACAGGGTCCTCCCCTCTCCCAGAAGCATCACTGTCAGCCCAGTGGAGTGTGATTGACACCAGGGGCCACACCCTTAGCAGGGTCCTCCCCTCTCCCAGAAGCATCTCTGTCAGCCACCCTTCAGCAAGAGGTGGGGCTTGCGAGCTCCTCCCTCTTCCGTGCTGGAATGTTGGCCAGATTGATCTTGTGCAGGTCTTCTTGCACATAGCATTTTTAAAGATTATCTCCATGGGCTTTGGTTTGGACCCATGTTAGAGTATTTACCTACCACACTTAAGGCCCTGGGTTCAATCCCCAATGCCTCAAATTAAACAAATACCATTATCGAGTTGCTAAAAATACATGACAGGCTTTATATCAAAAATGAATTTATACCCTTGTCACTGGTGGTTCACACCTGTCATCCCAGTACTTAGGAAGATGAGGCATGAAGAACATGAGCTTGAGGCTAGCCTGACCCTTGCCTCAAAAATAAATATAAAACTTAAGTATTTACTGTATTAGTATTAAAGAACTATATAATCATTTTAGTATAGGTTCGTTGAAGCATTTGATAGGAAACATAACCAATATTAACATATTAAAAACTA